AACAAGAAGGACAAACACGACGAAACGCGCGCAGATTTCGTAGTGTTTGTCCTTCTTGTTTTCCCCAGTCTCCAGGGCTGTCTTAAATCATGAACGTAAACCAGCTCGCCTGCGCCCTATCACTCATTTCAGTTCTTAGCCTCGTTCCGTTCATTTAGTTTTGAACAGCGAGATGGCGCGGTAGTTTTGCAAAACTATGATTGATAATTAAATATTGTTTTTTCTGTGTCCTCAATGCATTTGACGTTTAATTAAACTATAAATATTTATATAACAAAGGCTCATGGCATACAGAAATAAATATTTCTTCGCGATAACGTTATTGGTCGCAGCAGACGTCAGGACACGAGTGACGAGTGCAGCATAACATTACCTTAAGCTGATTAATTAAATTGATACAAGTTGGCACATTTTACGCAGAGATTCGTAGCCCGTCGACAAGATAGTCGGTGTCGGTTGCGAGATCTCAGGAAACCAATCGCAGGCATGCCTTCTCTTTCTTTCTGTCCTACCCTCTAGGATAGTCAGCATATGTTGTCCCTCCATCACTTCCATTTCTTCCCGTTCCGGGTAGCGTTGTTGCTGAAAAGAATAATGACGGAAACGGATGACAGACAATCTTCTATAGCGTCTGTAATGTTCGGGCCGAAACTTGACCAGCAACGTTGGTGGCCATATGCTGTAGCTGTCTAAAAATCAGCAAGCACTAGAAGTGATTGACCATAGACATAACCCAAGCAATGTTTAATACACTACTCCCCCCTCCCATTTTTGTTCAAACATACATCCGAGTCAACAAAATGTTTCCTGCTTACACATAAATCGCATGTAAGGATAAGCGTGTCACTGTGGCATGGAAACACGTGTCACCGTTTTCCCGCGCGAAAGTTTTTTTTTTTTATTTTTTTTTTTTTACGGTTTTTGCAATTTTGGAAACAACAAACTGGCCAAGCAAAGTTTACGAAAATCTTGGAAGCTCACAGCCTTTCCGAAACGTCCGCGTAATTAATTACCTTTTATGGCCGCATAAAAGGTAATTTCCGCCCATGAAAAGTTGAGCGCGCGATAACTGTTACTCTGGGTGAAGCGCGTCACAATCACCGAGTGGTGGCTCCACCTATTGAAGCTCCAAGAAAGCCTCGAGTGTGTTCCAGTTTGCACCCAGAGATGGCGCTAGGAGCGTCACCAATTTAGCGGAGCGAATGCTGGAGAGGAGCTGATGGAGCAATCGTTCGCTCTGCTAAAGTGGAAAGAGGTAGAAGGAGCTTTTTAAGGACGCCTGCACCAACCGGCACCCTGATTCACAGATCAGTGCCCTGATTCATGACACCGTGGCCTGCACAACACTGCATATTTAAATTCTAAACCCAAAATAAATGCGCAGTTTGCATTACAAAAAGTGCAAAGTGTGCTCAAAATACAATTAACTAATCAACAAATTAGACATGAGGAAGATACATAGAAAGGGGGGACGGACAACGAAGACTTCCAACTAGCAACAGCATTTATTGACCCGAAGTTTGCATATATAGGTGAAGGAGGGGAGGGTGAAAGACGCTACACTGGAAAGTGGGAAAGCGATGGGAGAGGGTGTAGAGCCAGGGAAATGAGGGACGTCAGGGAAATGAGGGACGTCCCTCGTTTCCGCGGTTCCAAGCGATTAGATGTCTACCCCACGGGATCGTCCCTCATTTCCCTGGCTCTACACCCTCTCCCATCGCTTTCCCACTTTCCAGTGTAGCGTCTTTCACCCTCCCCTCCTTCACCTATATATGCAAACTTCGGGTCAATAAATGTTGTTGCTAGTTGGAAGTCTTCGTTGTCCGTCCCCCCTTTCTATGTATCTTCCTCATGTCTAATTACCGTTACCAACACGCTCGTTTTGTTCTTAATCAACAAAGTTAACAAGTTTTCGAGTATGTACTTCATCTTTCGTCAGTGCGACAAACCTATCAATTGAGCTTTTCCAAGTAAAGACTGCGCGAAGCACTGAGTGCTGGTGATGTTATTGAAGGCAAGAGTCTTTGATAATGACATAGTGCCAGAGCTGTTTAATGTAAATCAACGTTACTAGAACACTCAGTTGGGAAACTCGCCGTCGAAACCTGGGCCGCTGGCGTCCACCGAGACCGAGCTAAATACGACAACAGCGCCACTCTTTATCACGTCTGTACTGTGGTCACATTGAGCTTTTAGAAAGCATGTTTTTGCGTAAAAACAAACGGAAAAGACTCTTTTTGTATGAAATTTGTTGGAGTTTAGTACAAAATGAAGGGCGCGTGATGTTTTTATAATCTTTAGTTTGCAAGGTTTTGCGGAACAATTAATATTGTTTTTATAGAACCATGCCTCAGCGGTCCTTTCAGGTAGCGCGTCCCGACCTAGGTGCATTTTAACTTCAGTAGAAATTCGCGGTGCATCCGCTGGGGAGGTGGGGGTGGCACCCTTGTAACCTCTTAAGCCAACAAAGGAGTAACATGCAGTTCCTCGAGTGGCCGCTGCGGGAGAAATGGTGGTGTTGTGTTCGCCATTAGCTCGGTTCCGGTGGACAGATTGGGGCCACTTTTTCAGAGCAGTCTCTATGGCAGTTACCGAACTTAGTGTTTCTATAAAGGCCCGTTCACACTCTTACGACCTCTTAAACCTGGGTTCCTTAAAACTTCTTAAACCAGAAAACACACTGGCGCCATCTATTGGGAAGCAGTGTAAACTCGGCGGTCCGGCATATTTTTTTTTTTATTTTTCGCGCATTATCCTTTCTTTTTTTGCTCGAAAAACTTTTGTCAATGTTATAAACGAGCCTTTCTATGGGTATTACGCACATTTGACCTCGGAAATCCCGCAAAACCTTCGCTCTTGTGAAATGCAGTTCCAGGGTCACCGCATAGATGGCGCCACAATGCCAGTGTGTTCCCTCATTCTAAAAACATGAAAGAAGTTTTAAGATGACGAAAATAATCCCTGGAGAGGGGGAACAAGAGGAACAAAGGACAAACACAAATCTCCAAACACAGCTAGGTGACTGGTGCGCGACCTGTTCCCCCTCTCCAGGGATTATTTTCGTCATCGTTGCCCAGCTCGCTTGCACCTTTGCATTTAATTGCATTCTAATCAAGTTTTAAGAGATCTCGTCTCTCTCAGTCGTACTCGGTCGCAAGAGTGCGAACGGGCCTTAACGTTGATGTAAATGTACCTGCTTCTACTTTGACCTATGAAAGCTGTGAACAGTGTGGAGAAGAAAAATCCAGATAATTTAAATAGTGATTTAAATTATTTTAATCATAATTTATATCACACACGTTTTACTGATTTAAATCAAACTTTTCCCACAAAAGTAATCAAGAAAATATTTTATTTACTGTTTTTTTTAACCATTTTACGCTTTCTGTGGCCATTTGGTTTGTATTTATTAAAAAAAATCACCAATAAAAAAAAATTAATATCTGCTGAACACAAGCCAAAGGGAGTGCTTTTCTGAGCAAATCGGAACATTTGAGTTTTTTTTCTATTTTTTTTCTACCATTTACAGCCTTGGTCAGTTATATGTTTTCAAGTCATAACGCAAAAGAAGAAAAAAAAAAAAGTAAATAAAGCTTTTGTTCTAGCTAGTTCTAGGCTTACAATTATAGAAAGTTGTTAATTAGACTGCACTTTAAATATACAGTAATTCTTGCTTCCATATTGCTTTCAGCAGAGTGAATCACAATTTTATATCAATCTGATTTAAATGGCTATTTAAATCATAATTTAAATCATAATGTAAACCATGATTTCAATTAGACCAGTTTTACTATGATGATTTAAATCAAACCATTCTCCACAAATATAAAGGTTTTTTTGTTTTTTATATCTACTGATTTTTTTCTTTTTGCTTTGATGATTTTTGTGCATTTGTTGTTTATTTAAATAAAAGAATCACCAAGCAAGAAACATTTATACACAAAGCTGAAGACGAGCAAAAAGAAGGGCTCTTCTGAGCAAGTCGGAGCATTCAGCTTGATTTATGCCTTCCATTTTGTTCGTCAGCTACCCAACGTCCTGTTGCAAGGAAATCAGAACACAAAAGAAACAAAAACTAGAAAAATAGTGGTCTAATGCAATCAAGTCAGAGCGCAAAATAAAAAGCAAATAAAGCTTTTTAACTGACTTAAAAATCAAGCTGCTTTTTAGTATGGCGTAGACATCAATAAAAAGTAAAGTTCACTAAACTTCACATTTTCAGTAATTAATTTTTTTTACAGTATTATCAATGGTCAGATGAATCGATCTATTTGCCATGTTGATAAGTATTGTTTCCTAGCCACAGTGATTTGAATCAAGCTAACATGGTTTAAATCAAATAAATCTGATTTATATCAAATAAATCTAATTTATGATTAAAATTTGTTTTACCTTGGTTGCAAAGGGTTCATGTCCGTTAACATTCCTTGTCAAAAAAAAAAAAGTCATGAGCTGGAATGGGAGTACTATTAGGATTCTGTAATACTATAAAACAGTACAGGATGATTATGCACTTTCAGCACAATAGCAAACAGAGTATACAGGTACTGTGGGAATCGGCTGCTTGATGTAGCCTTATTTTGCACCTAACGGTATTTGCTATCCTATCGGAGTCTGGTAGAAGTAACTGCAAAATGCCGAACAATAATCAGATTTATGCACACCGGATATGCCTGTACTGCATGCATAAATGTCAATTTTGACATTTACGCAAAATAAAGAGCTGGCACTTGCAAGAGAGAAAACACATGTTGAGTTTTTTCTGGAGCTTTCTATTGTGCATTGTGCATAGGTTTCATGAAATTGAGTTGGTCTATGTGTCCACACACTCTGTATGATATTAAATACACTGACGGAAACTGTCAGATTAAACTGTGCCTCAGGTATCCATAGCAGTGGATGGGAGACCAGCATGAAAGCAGTGAAAAACTATTTGTGAAGCGTTCAGGCAGCTAGGACAAGTGCTTACAGTTTAGTAAAAAATCAAAGAAGCCAAAAGGTAATAGCTTAAATATTTATTTCATATGCAAGACTAGTAAACACAGCAGATCAAATAAAAATGCAGAGCACAAGCAAACAGCATCAATGTTTCTATATTCAGGCACTTTTGTGACGATACATGTTTTATCATCACTCTCATTCTAAAATATATTGCATAAAATATGGCAACCCCAACTAAAAAAAAAAAGATATTGAATCAAGCCTGTACATTTTCATCGACTTTATGTCTCACACAATATGCACCTCGTAGAAAAAGCCTAGGTATCCACTAGCGCAGCACAATATAGGGATGATTTGTCCAAGGTAAATAAAAAAACAACTACATTTGGCTATCTGAAGAGGCACGAGAAACAAATTCACAATTCTAAAATGCACAAGAAATTCCTAGCTGGGGTCCTCAAAAGCCATACTCAAGCTTAAACAAAGAGCTATTCACACTTCAGAGTATAAAACAGTTGCTGAAGCTAGATGAAGTGCATATAAGCACACTAGGGTCAAGCATGTGCAGCAAAACAGCACATAAGCAAAAACTAAAGTACAGGTATTAAATACATAAGTTAAGGTGCCACACACAGCTGTGTGACTGTTTTCATAAAAAGCTACGGCTATTCATTCCAGTAGTATTTTTGTATAGATTACAGGAGTATGAAGAAAACAGTCCGAAAGATGCCCACTTTCTTGAGTGGACATGTGCGTGCCCATTTGGTTTCTATTGAAACTGCAAGCCTAAGGCAAGCCTGGGAAGTAACAAATGCCAGAAAGTACCTCCATAACAAATAACAGTTAAGTTTTGGCACAGGCGCTTCCGGAAGACAATGTCAACAACGTATGAATACAATCCATGCCAGAAAATAGAATCTGTAGCTAATCTTTTCATGGAAGGCAGCAGACTTTCAGGCTCTCAAAAGGCACAAATGATCATCGCTTATAACTATGAACTATACATCTACAACTTTAGAAATTTCTTTTTTTATTCATGCTTCTTAAATGACAATGCCTGACTTATAGCTTTTCATAAAAAGCTATTTGGCCTTCAATGTACAGGCCTTATATAAAAAAGTGTATTTTCTTAACCCTGTACTATGAAAGCACAAGTAGTAGCAGCAAGCCGAGTATGCAGAAGTATTTCATAGGAATACCAGGGCCGATTCTCGAAAAGTTTTACTTGAAAGCCTCCTTGAAAGCAACACCATGAAAGACCTGTCCTTTAAACTGGGGAAATGGTACGCAGCAATGCATACAGAAATGAAAGCCAGCACCAGTACTAACCGAAGGTCAAATTAGATTTACAGCTTGTTCTCATGTTCTCACACTAGCGCTAATCAGACCGGGCACTACTCTATGGAAACCACACTCACCAGAAATCATCAATCTTTGACAGATCTAACAGCCTGGGTGACATAGTAGAAACATGAGAAACAATCAATTTAAAGCTAGACAGGCCATGCTTACTAATAGGAAACAATGAAATAAAGCTGTTAGCCATCGATGAAGTCTAAAAGTGGAGAAAAATTCAGGTAAATGCTTCATATTTGAAGTGGCTAAAAATGGGCAAGATATTGTGCTCCAACAGTGCCATACATTTCATTCTAAAGTAGACTTGAAAGCTCTTAGCAAAGCCTGTAACAAGTTTAAGCTATCGTCGACATGCAGCAATCATGCTGGGCACTGTTGCAGACAACAACCATATGAGGCCTCAAACTATTCTATGTGTCTTCAACTGCTTACTTTACCATAAAGCTTTAGGAACTGGTATGGACAAGCTTTGTTTATTCTATAACAAGAAACAGAAGAGATCAGCAGCTAAACAAAGCAAACAAGATCTTCCTTTAACTTGCTCTGTCTAGTCGCTCACACACAAAGACTGCTTGTATGTGCATCAGAGAGCAGTTTGTTTTCCATTAGGCACGCATTGCCATGAGAGAGTATTTGCTCTATCGACATAACAAATGAAGCTTTATGCATTACACAAACAAAACTCAACCTACGGCAGTATGTTTCCAAACCTGCCAAGAGTTGTTGTCCTGGACTGGTTGGTGCCTGGGCAGTGCTAGTTGTGGTCTCTCTTTTTGCTCACTTTCTTGTTCTTGTCCCCCTTCTTTGGAGGAGGAGACAGGCTGCTGTGGGTGTTGCGACCGTACACGCTGCGCAAGAAACAAACAGTAGTGCCATCAATGGGAGCGTTTTTTTCACTACAAAAATAAACTACTATGCTTCGCCAAATGCTTAGTGTCTCCACCAAATGTAGCACTAGAAGTCCGAACAAGATGCCAAAGTTTCAGAGCTTGCCGTTCTCAGATACCAAAGCTATAAGCGATTTTCAGAAATGTTGAACAAATCTTTGTAATGTACAATTTTCTAATGCTCCGACTTGTTTGTTGTGCGTTTCTATGTGCCGTAATGCCCTGGCCCGCACCTATTGTTTGAAGGAGATGGTAGATCGATTTGCCACCTCACCACATCCTCTCATTTCTCACGCTTTGCCATCTGTCGGCAGCATGTCGAAGTAGGCGAGCAGCGTCGCCGCCGTCCAGCGATCACCCAAGCTCGGCGGCCCTCGGTGGCCTGGCGACGTCTTGTCTCGGAAAACTTCACTTTTTATATTTTCTTCTTGCTGGAGCACATTGGCAACATAAAAGCATAACACTCGGGAATTTCTAGAGTGTAGCTCTCACACAATTGCTTGCTAGAAAACCAAGAGTCGTCGTGCACCCACCCAAACACAAGGAAAACATAGAAGAACTGGAAGTATTACTCTCCCCATCGTGGCGGATGGAAGTGGCACAAATACCCCGTGTAAAAAAATACCTTTTTGTTATTACTAAAAAACATTAGTGCTTGTGATTCAAGACTATATGCAGTCGTTTTATCTCAAGTGCTCCCCGTGGCTCTTTCAAACACCATGTGACCACACCTATGATGCAATTTTATTTTTTTTACCCAAATCTAGGACTCCTAAGGAGATGGAGAGGAGTGCAACTCACTATTTGTACGTCTCGCTGCGGATGTACTCCACGACGTGGGACACGCCGATCTGGAGCTGGTCGGCAATGGGTGCCACCCAGGGGTTGTCGTCCATCCGCACCACGCACCGGTGGCTTGCCAGGTCCAGGTTGCCTGCCCAAGAGAAACGCCACTTTCAATGACAAAACAAAAACAGTGACTGATCATGGGGACTCGAGTGCATCAATAAAAAAACATCACCATCTTAAGGCAACTGAAGGAGTAAAAAAATGCTAAAAAGCCACTCCGCTTCATTTTCTTTTTAAAAAAACAATGCAGTCCTCTTCGGTATCACCAAGGAAGATGACACATCAAATATCCTGACCTACTTACTTCTGTCTAAATGTTTCTTAAACAGTATGGCAATCTTTGCAATGTGTCAGGTTGCCGAAATCGACTGACGCTAGCGGGCAAATTGAGGAGCAACCAACAGTGCAGTCAAGGCAGCAGCGTTGGCGTAGCCAACAGTAAGCTAAACGTCATCACCATTGCCCTTTTTTGTTTGTGTTTACTTCTCCGAGCAAGCGTAAAAGGAGGACACCGCTCAGCGATGTCCAACTTTTACGACTGCGAGACGATGACAGCGGTTGTGACGCAGGAGATGGCGGTAATGGCAGGACGGCAGGATGGCCCCCAAGAAGCGGGCTGTGTAGACGCAATACGCCAATTGCGTGCACACTGTTTGTCGTCATCTCACCGTTTGTGATCTTTGTCTCTCGGAGTTTCACTTACACTACACGTGCAGACTGATGTTGTGCAGACATGTCGTTGAATGTTGGAGACACCAAAACACGGTGAAGAGTGCAGTGCAGACGACACTTGCGCCTGACACACAACTGCCCTAACGGTGGCCCGCCAACCCGCCCCAATCTCACCCGTCGTGGTGTAGTGGATCACGTGGCATCTCATACCACCTGATAGCCATGTTTTTGTCGGCTCGAGGCCAATGATGCCAGACGGAGCCTAAGTTTCGGTTTCGACTCCTGCTCATGTTTAAAGATTTCACAATATATATCAAATTTTTTTGCCTTTGCAAAGCAAACGACGTAGTGCCTTTTATTAGTGCTTTTCAATGTGAAAACGCTCAATATCCTGAAATTTTCGGAACCGAGTGGAGTTGCCCTATAAGAACAGTCATCCTGTTTTAAAACAAGTCGACAGAGGTTTGCTTTGCTTTAAGCGGCCAGAACGAAGCACAGAGCTGACCTTTGAGGGAAGATTTAGAGTGGGCAAGGCTGATACGACAAGAGTGAGATGCAAAGGATGAGAACAGCAAGGCACCCCTTTCAGACATCCGGCCTCCAGCACGTGCTCGTTGCCTTTGATGTGCTTCGGTTGTGCAAGCACACTTGAAGCTCACAATACCCCAAGCGTTATTGAAAGTGGAAGACTCGCGCTAAAGGCAGGACGGCTGAAACTCCACCTCCTTGCCATTCTAATCTGGTCGGTGACTAGTGTAAGAGTTCAGACACGACTGGGAAATGGAAAGGGAGAACTGCCGCGCCAATTTTTGAAAATATAGTTGGAGTGGTCATCCTTGAAATGAAACCATCTAGAATTCCTTGAAGGAACGTCTGTACTCGTTTTCACCTCAAGAAAAAAAGAAGTTTTGCGCATTGTTAGTACGCGGCGCGAAGTAGTTTTTACGGGATGTGGTCGTCGGAGGAAGAAGAGATGCTTTTGGAGTTTGAAACATGTACGCCTTGACGAGATAAGACGTGTATAACCTTAAAAGCACCAACATATACCTTAACTGTCTACATAAAGGGTGAAATTAGCAATGCTGCGCGAGGAGCCGGACTGTTTTTTCTATGGTTCTTAAGGTGAAAACGGGTACTGAAGCCACAAACCTGCCAACTTCCATGATCGTCGCCTCCAGCAAAAGTAAATTAGAATGCCAAGCTCTTTTCCTGTCTCTCACACAAACTTCTCAGCAACAATATTTACCCCAATGCGAGGCAACCTTCCTATGACTGCGTGTGCATTTTATTTTTTGCGCAGAGTGCGGAGCTAGTCAATAAGCATTGTGGAAAGCCTTGCAAACAACTAGAAATCGGTAACCTCTATACTCCACAAAGTGAGCCACAGTGGGTTGTTGAGCACAATTTCACATTCTGAGAATTCCGCCTGGGTTACTGTCGTTAAACCGACTGGTCCATGCATCGTCATTCGAAGGTCTACTTCGGTCAATTCTGCTGCGCGGAAAACGAGATGTGCGAGCTTTAGTGGTAAAGAGATTGCCTCACATTCAAGACATTCAAGTAAGTAGGATACTAATCAGAATACAAATAAATGTTATTGGTACCAAAAGAAAATAAAAAAAATGAGGTACAACCTCATTGATATATTTTTCCGGCTATAATGTTGATGAACACTGGTTCCATGTAACACCCATAGATGTGCATATCAATTCCCGTCTGTTCTGTTTCCCTTGCCAATTCTTGTGCCCGAAAATTGCCACCTGACGTGGCAGAGGCGACAGACACGACTGCGATGCCACAGCCGTCCTCCATCTTTGCTTTACGATGCACATGAAGCACAATCACAAGCTTTTGAGTTTCACACATAATGAAACCCATGGAGCAAAGGAGAGTAAGCACAACAGAAGCATGCATCAAAAAAAGTGATTGCGAGGTGAGTACGCAATAAACTATTTGCAGTAATCCTCCGCGCATGCATAAACCTTTTACCCTGGCTTTGCTCCCTCCGTCGCGATTTTCAAAAGGCACCGTCCCACAGAACTAACATTGTCAGCACCTATCTTTGCGCGTATTTCATCCTTTTAGAGCATTCGTAGTATGGGACGTAAAGAGCAATAAAAACTGAATGCGTTCTGACAGGCAAAAGGTCCTGACATTTGTATGACGTCGTCAGGCAGAAATTGAGGGACCACCTTTCAGACGCGGTGAATGCGCCGGTCGTGGACGTGTCCCCCCAGGCACCGTACCTCGACGTCCCTGCTGCTCGGAGCGACAAATGGAGAATGAGTGGTGCCCCACAGTGTGCCCTCTTACCCAGCTCTGGGGGCAGGAGGGTCAGGCGATTGCCCTGGATGTGCAGCTCCCTGAGGCGTGACAGTTGACCCAGCTCTTTGGGAAGCTCCACCAGGTCGTTCTCCCGAACGGACAACTGCCGGGGGGAAAGAGAAGGAAGCGTCCTCACCACCGCATGCAATGCCACACACAATGACTTCAACGGAGAAGCTCTAGTATCGGCTTTAAGAGTGCACAGCAACCGCATATCGGACTAAAAAGTATTAGCTGCGTGTCTTCGCTATTCATTCACGGAGGTGCTTGCTTCTTTTCGAGCACGCAAAGTTTGTCGGTCATTTTTGTGGAGATGCATTCTCAATTACCTTCCCTCGATTAAAACAAATAGGGCTGTACCAACCTTCAATTAGTAACTTGCACGGACCATACTGAGACCAAAAGACTATTAAAAATATTCGTTAAAGTTATTCCCAAACTTTGATCCCTCCCCTGCCAAAGATCTGTTAGGTTCAACCGAAGCTATTTATTTATTGACTGGCATCGAGAGGTCAAAGCATACGCAGAGATGGTAAGTAAATAAGAGCTTTGACAAAAATAAAGCTTCGAGTGATACTCGGCTAAACATAATCGAGGAGACTTATAAATGCTCTCATTATAGTAAATATCCTCCCTTAAATCTCATACTTGTAATAACAAAGGTACATGCAGCATTTCACGGCGTTCTGAAAAAATGCTCAATTTGAAGGCGTTTTTAGGTTTCAGCTTCTTATTGGAGCGCATCTCCGCGCCAGCGATCCCGCTCCCCATGGCCAAAACGTGCAGCGTATGTGGACCACCCCGCAGTACACATAGAAGATGCTGGATAAGAAAGTCCAGACTGCCACATGAGGTTTGCCATTTTCGAGTCTGTGCCAGTGTGGAGATGCACCTTTATGTGCAATGTGAGGGGGCGCAGGAATGTTGCGTGTTTTGGCCTGGGGGGCGGAATTGCTGGCACAGAGATGAGCTCCGATAAAAAAAGACGAGAAAGATAGAAATGCGCCCAAATTGAGCAATTTTTCAGACCGCCATACAATGTTGCACATGACTTATATGTAATATGAGTGGATTTAGTAGTTTCAGATGTTTCGCATTAAGTTTCTAATTGAACCCATATCTTTAACATTAGTCATTAAAAACCTAATGACTAAAAAGTACTTAATTACCCAATTACACTGAATGCTAATAATTTTTCTTAATGTGTTCTTTGGCGTAGACCACTACAGCATCAACCTATTTTCTGTGTGATGCATAGTTTTAGCAGGAGCCATTTTGCTCACGTTTTTGAATATTTTACTGCAAGGCAAACATAAACGTCCACCAGGTAAGCTACTGACCATCAACTTTGTTCATTTTTTCTAAATGCTACAAATGCGTATACAACCACCCCATTCTGGAGGTGCGCCTGTTTTCTCGGCACGGGGCGGCATTGTTGCAGAGAAACTTGTGGCGCCCACTCTGCAAATGTCACTTCTCTGCAACGCACCACTGCGCTTCAAGAAGCACGTTCGACGGAACTAACTGGAGGCTGGCTCACAGATTTGCGCGTGAGTGTGACCTATTGCGCTGCCACTGCTTGTCACCACATATCATAAATGCTGGTGCCTTCTTTCGGGTAACCCTGGAACACTTTCGATTATACGCAACATTTGTTTACAAAACTTGGCCAAAATTTGTGAGAGCTGCTGCCGGGAGCGCTACTGTTCCAGACGGGGTATTGGTCACCCCACTTTCTGTGAGCCATTCCAAATTCGCAATGACAAGTAGTTTTCAAAGAACAATTTCTCGTACGCCGACATTTTGTTACGTCCATAATCGATCGCTGTGTGCAAGCACCGATCATTCTTTATTGATCTCTAATAACAGAACTTAAAGATAAGACTTCTTAATTTGTTTTCGAACAAAACTATGTTTTGGGAGGGAAAAAGAGCCAGGCAGCTGAGTGTATGGGTTCGTAGCACCTCTTATCGATGGCGTCACGTGCAGCACATAATTTCGTGGGTGACGGTGTTATTGAGAATTCATTTTAAGGCAAGAAGAGAGGATGAAGAGTGATATTGTTCTGGAGATTGTTGCATGTTGCAGAAGAGGAAGTTTAAATCGGTTGGCCAAGCGTACAGTGCCGAAGACGCTTCCAGAAATGTTGCCAGTGTGATCCCGCATCACCGCAATTGATTGGTGGCTCATTTGGAGTGCTTCGAAATTACAATTCCTCTTTCTGGTTGCCAGATCCCCGGCAGTGCTGGCCATAGTCAGATACAACATAAGACAATGCGAGGGGGAAAAGGGCATGCACGAGAAAAGCATTGTGGAAAGGAGGTCGCTCCTCTACCTTCTCAGATTTCCTAGTTTCTACCCCTTTTCCCCCTCGCAATGTTTTTCTTATGGTGTATCCGACTATAGACTGGCTGCTCTTAGCCCCTTCGTCAACGCTAGCGCCACACGTAGTTGCGTACCGAGCTCTTCCATCGCGTTACGGAGACGTTTCGTGACCAGTAGTGTATCTAAAGACTCTGCTACAGGCTCGAAATAATTCCAACAATGTTATCAGTAACAATTTCCGTAATGTAGATGGTGCATAGAATTGACCCCGCAAATACCGCAAAACCTTCAGTCTAGTTACATGCACATCTGAATTGTTCCAGGGCTGCTGATAGATGGCAATAGTGCGCCTGGGTGTTCACTTGTCATGAGCAGCTGGGCGTTTTCAGATAAGATCGAACAACCATGTCCGGTGACCATTTTTAATTTTGATGGAAAAAAAATATTTTGCTGGCTTTATGCCCAGAAGTATAAAACCAATCCTTGTTTTCGTAAAAAAATTTTTTTCTTTGCAAAAAGAATTAGTAAGCACCCTCTCAGTCTCGTGCGCGTTTTGCGTATCGCGCAATGTTCACATCTCGGGCGGCTTTCCCCAAAATGCTGTTCTGGATACAAGTCTAGAAATATTCACAGACAAATTAGGCATAGGAAGGATTGACTAAAAGTATTAATCACCGAGTATTAAGGTAGTTATTTTGAGGAAACAAAATCGCAAACACGGCACATTGTGCAATAACGCTCTGGATTAAAGAATATTTTTCTCCATATCTATAAAAGCTAATGTCTTCAAACTTTGCCAGTGTGTTGCCCTGTATATAGTTAATCTTTGCGTGAAATATTGTTCTCCTGGTTAGCAGGAGAAATTTACAAGAATTGCTCACAAAGGGGCATTTAACTAGAAATGTATTATTTTGAAAATCATTTTTAAAAAAAAGGCCATCTTTAATTTTCTTTTTACTCTCTGAAATTAATGTTTATAATATGTACTAACAGAGTCTGCAAAAACATGATGCAATATTAGTGTGGCTTTTAAGTTATAAAGCGAGAAACACGGCCAAATTGACGCTAACACGGTAGCCATAAATGGGGCATGCACATACCCGTTCTTCACAATTTCATTATTATTAAAACGTGTAAAAATGCTACAGGGTGGTCAGGAAAAGACAAATTGACAGCACAGAGGTGTACGGTAGTTTTTGATGGGAAAATTCCTGATACATTTTTGTACAACCGACCCGAAAATGCCCATGGGCCGGAGCGATCGAGGTGCGCCACCCTGTAACATGCTTCGCGGTGCCTGTTTCAACAGACGGCGTATAGCGTCTCCGTTTACGCGACGTAGAGGAAGCAACCGGAACGACTTTGCAAACAGATCAGCCTACTACCTTGGCGGTAACATGATATAGGAAGTAGGGTGCGGCAGAACCTGAACCCGCTCCGCCTGAGAGCGCCAATAGATCCGCCGCCGTGGAGGGCCGCACAACGCGTAGAAAATAAAGATACATTAAAAAATAAAAAATAATTGCGATTGAATAAGATCATCTGTAACTTAATTTATAAGACAACGGTCTAGAGAATCGTGAAATCCAATTCGGGTATGTCCATGTGACCTACGTAGGTGATGGTGCAACAAGTCACTTTAAAAACAAGTACCAACTACACGAGCTGCAGAGCCACAAATACAGGTCAGCGACGTGTATTTTTTCTGCAGCTTGACATGGCAAGAGTGCCTGTGATCGAATCGGGGGTCGTGTCAAGTTCTAGACATTGTTGTACAGCCTCCGAGGCCCACCAAGTCGATGATCAAGTCGGCGTCAGAAATGGTTGCCCCACTGAACACTAAACTGCCGAATGTGAAACTAATTCACCTCCCGAAAGCTGACGTCAAAGCGTTCAGGGACATGAAAGCAAAGGAGCAGGACTCTATTTCTGTTTTGCGTGGAATTCAGTCTTGTCACCTGTGGCGGTGTAAACGGTCCGACACTTAGCAATCACAGCTGTTTTAGCAAGAACAGTAGCCACAGAAAAGATATATCTTTAAAAGTAAAGTCTCTTATGGCTGCGAAAAGCAGATCGAGGTCGCGAGCTTGCGGTGCCACTGAGAAGAAACGAACAGTGGTCGCTACAGGCAAACCGGAAAAAAAAGTTTCCTTTTCGGAGTGCCAGGAGAGTGCCGTGACCGACTCAGGTCAGCGTCCAGCAGAAAGAATTCACGCGACAAGCTCCGAATGTGTGCGAAGGATCTTGATTAATTAAACTAGTTTCAATTGTACCACTTTAAACATGTGTTCTCTCTTATCACTGTTTAAACGTCAGCATCCCCGCCTCCCCACGAAGAGTATATGCCGAAATTCACTGATCCGAGAAATCTGTATTTAAATTGTTGACTTGTGCTTCAATCTCACCTGTAATCTTTTGTATGAATTCAAATTTTTCATGAATTCCTTTCACAGTGCTTTCTTTTCACAGACTTCCTACATTTTTCGACCGCTTGCTTGCCCCTGTTTGAAATTGGCAAAGTCCTAGCTTTCTCCACTCCTGCTACATCAATTCTGTTTATTTAAAACTGTAGAAAAAAAAACAAAACAAAAAAAATATTGCAAAGCATTTTTGAAGGGCCTGATGGGACAGATTATGAGCCTTGCTCTGTGAAAAGTGGAAGAAAAATTGTGGTGGCCTTCATTTTAAACTGATTTTCTAATGCTTGCAGAATCAGTAACCTGTCTAAATTTCAGTGTATTCATTTTAGGAAGGTTATCGTTTTCAATTTCAATGAAATTTATGCAAATATAGAACAGACGCGTTCAAATCATTTAAAAAATTTTAATTTCCAGTCTTTTAAGATCCGGATCCATAAAGCTCTAAATTGCTTCGTAATCAATATTACATGTTTACCTCCTTTTATTTTATGCGGAGTCTCTGCACAAAAAATATTAAACCTAAGACGACAACAGTTTTTCTTTAATAAATATCCAAAAGAACAGTTTCACGAAAGTCGCAAAAACGAGAGCATATACCGACAGCGACTTTGTGTTTTGTTTTTTTTTTCTCAAGAGAAATTTTTTTTTCTGCAAAAAACGTTTGAATATGTTTTTGCGCTTGCACAACAAGTAAAACATATATTCTTTGCTAAAAATAAAAAAATGTCGACCAGACATGGTCACTTAATCCTATCTGAAAACGCCCAATATAAACAATCTCAGGCAATTGGAATTCTTTTACTTTTAAGTATCCTTTATTTTCTATGCCTTGTGCGGCCCTCCACTGCGGCGAATCTATCGGCGCTAACAGGCGGCGCAGGTTCAGGTTCTGCCGCATGTTACCGCTAAGGTTGTAGGCTGATCTTTGTTTGCAAAGTCGTTCCGATTGCTTCTTTACGTCGCATAGACAGAAACGCTATACACCGGCTGTTGAAACAGGCACCGCGAAGCATGTTACAGGGTGGCGCACCTCGATCGCTCCGGCCCATGGGCATTTTCGGGTCGGTTGTACGAAAATATATTAAAAATTTTCCCGTCAAAACTACCGTCCAACTCTGTGCTGTCAATTCGTCTTTTCCTGACCACCCCGTAGCATTTTTACCTCTTTAATATTAATGAAATTGTGAAGAACAGGTATGTGAGTGCCCCATTTATGGCAACCGCGTTAGCGTCAATTTGGCCATGTTTCTCGCTTTATAACTTAAAAGCCACACAAATATTGCATCATATTTTTACAGACTCTGTTAGTACATATTATAAACATTAATTTCAGAGAATTTAAAGAAAATTAAAGATGGCCCTTTTTTTTAAAAATTACTTTCAAAATAATGCATTTTTAGTTAAATGCCCCTTTGTGAGCAATTCTTGTAAATTTCTCCTGTTAACCAGGAGAACAATATTTCACGCAAAGATTAACTATATACAGGGCAACACACTGGCAAAGTTTGAAGACATTAGCTTTTATAGATATGGAGAAAAATATTCTTTAATCCAGAGCGTTATTGCACAATGTGCCGTGTTTGCGATTTTGTTTCCTCAAAATAACTACCTTAATACTCGGTGATTAATACTTTTAGTCAATCCTTCCTATGCCTAATTTGTCTGTGAATATTTCTAGACTTGTATCCAGAACAGCTTTTTGGGGCAAAGCCACCCGAAATGTCAACATCGCGCGATACGCAAAATGCGCACGAGATTGAGAGGGTGCTTACAAATTTTTTTTGCAAAGACAAATTTTTTTTTTTTCGAAAACAAGGATTGGTTTTATACTTCTGGGCATAAAGCCAGTAAAATATTTTTTTTTCGTCGAAATTAAAAGTGATCACTGGACATGGCTGTTCGATCTTATCTGAAGACGCCCAGCTGCAAGTTGTTGCAACGGGAGGCTAATGCACATTCAAAGGCAAATGTTTGAACCAGCCTTTACCAGCCATAACCGTGACTATATAGCAAATACTAAACAAACGACTCATAAGAATGAGTCAAATGTTTAAGCAACATTACAACGGTTTGCCTGTGAGAATAGAGACACTAGTTCACGCTGTAGATAAGAAACTTTTTCGGCGCTGTTTGACTGCTAATCTAAAGTTTTTAGCACATGCCACATAGCAGGGATTATGCAAACACACGTCAGAGCGGCCCTGATCTGGATCAACAATGAAACACAAGATCACTAGAATCTGTAACGCAAGCTTTCGTGCCACACGCTCCAAGCCTCTCTGCACCAATGAGCTCAGTCACTTTGCCAGTGCTTGAAAAGTATAAATATTACGATTCACTTTGAAAGGAATATCGTGTAGCATATTATAACTATTATTCAGAAATATTAATATTTGTACACTATACAAAAGTTCTTCTAGGTTTTCTGAGATAAAATATAATATAGCTGGGCATGCAAGAGGAGGTTAATAACACGAGCTCACAATTTGAAGGTTCTTGAGCTGACCAATGGCTGGGGGAATCTTCTCAAACTCATTGTCACCGAGGTAGAGAGCCCGTAGAGTGTCTGAAAATATTTCCGGAACAGTAACCTTGAAAAAACATCAAAGCAAATTTCATTGAGCGATAAAACTTCCTCGACACCATCTAACAATCAACAACATGTTTTGCTCCACAGACATACTTCACAATGCCATAAAAAATGCCCATACATAAAGGGAGCACAGAAGTGTCACATCAAAACAAGTGACCTAAGTATAAGTGCACTTTCAGTTCAAATCTGGTATCATGCTTTACAGTTAGAAAGTCACTATCAATCAAGATCAGCGCATAACAAACACTATAGTTGCTGAAAATTCTCAGTTCTGGTATTGTTTGTCAGAATCATTGATTCCAACTGTTGTGCCCCAACTACAATCCAAATCTCCACCCTGGGCCATGGCTTCTAAACATATCTCCAACTCTCAAAAGTCTAAGATTACATGCCAACTGTCGATTGCCTGCCCTGGGGACTGCCTCGTGGCCACACCAATGCACAATGTGTGTCTGCATGGCCACACCAATGCACAATGTGTGTCTGCAGCACTTGGAAATATGTGTACATTTTTCAGTGGCCATTTAATAGATTTGTTTCGAAATTCAGTAGAGTCACTTCAATCCCTATTGCCATCGAACTGGATCATCTGTGGCTCGCAATGGCAGCCTCCTGGTGGCCAATAGAGGAAGAAACTGAAGACTTGCACATACTGAAGCAGCTAATGCAAAACCTCCACATTCTAGATGTTAGCACGAAGCAAAACATAAATTGGATACAAGCACCACGTCAGCATTTGTTTCAAACAAGAGTTCAATCAATCAGTTAACACACACATAGCTCACAAGCACCCGGATGTGGCAATGTCTGTCAAGAGCTCTGCTTGGGTAAGCGTTTCATACAGACGGATAGTTTTTTTTGTCACTGTCGAAAACTGGAAGGACTCGAGAAGGAGCTGTATAGCGAAAAGCATGTTGCCGTCTGCTGTTCACATACGAAACTTACAGTGCCCTTCAAGATACTGCATTTTCACTACTCCTGGCATGCCAAGAGCTACACTAACTGTTGAGCTACTATAGTTACTGACAGGATCAGAAGGTCAGGGAGGCCTTTCAGCTCTCCTGCTTCCAATGTGAGCTTGGCGTCCTTAAACCTCGAGCGTGCACGTGCAGCCAAAGCACAGCGGCAAGCATCAGCAGCAAGCTGGAGGTTAGGCATCCAGAAGAGACACCCTGCAGTTCTCCCCTGTCAGGGTCAATAGATGGCACGGAATTTCATAGAGAGTCTATAGCTGGCTCCAGAACACCGGCCACCCGTTGCAGGAAAGTCCTCGGCCGTCCCTAAACAAAGAATGGCCCGGCCGGCTTGTCTGCTTGTCCACGGTGCGAGGACGGCTTCTACCAGTTCCTCACCCATGATGAAGAAGTTGTTGGAGAGCGACTGCTCGTTGAGGTTGTTGTAGGTGAGGTCGAGGACCTCGAGCACCGGAAACGCCCCAAAGCCCCTCGGCAGGCTGCTCAGCCGGTTAATTCTGCGAATCAGAGAGGAAGAAAAAATTTAATGTTTTGGGAATTTATGTGATGAATCGACGAAGGGCATCTGGCATGCTTCAGCGGAAGAGTGAGAACTGATTTCGACAAACTGGGGATCTTTTGACGTGCAACCGATATCTCGGTTACCTTCTCCGCAACGCGCCTGTCAGATTCTGGGCAACTCGCCCACCAACTGGGGATTCGTAGGCCGGCGCTTCGCCTCGTAGTCATTGAGGCCATTAACCGGAAAGAAGGGCACGCCTCAAATCATGTTGGGGGCCGAAAGGGAGACAACTGGGCATAAGCCATCCATCACTTGGTCATCAATGTCAACTGCAACCCAATCCAAAACCTTTGACAAGTAACATAGTGTAATGATACAAAAACAAAAAAATGCCTCGAAGCCTTGCCAGAACTAGTCTTTTTTTAAAGGTTTGTACTTCTGCCAAAAAACAAAAAGTAAAAGAAATGAGCAAAAAAAAGTAAGGAAAGAAACAACCAGAGCTTAGCAAAGATAAGTAGCAGCCAGCTGCTGCCTCAATATTTATTGGGGATCTCAAGTACAACATTTTCTGGCATCTAACAAATGGATCATTGCCAGTGACAGGCACTCCCAAAAAACGTATGATGGGTGGAAAAACAAATTGTGATATGCAAAGCACACTGGTGGATAATGCACATGTGCAAAATTTGTGAGAATTTTTGTACATTGTGCCCCATTTTCCAATTGAGATTTGTTGAAGCTATGGACTAAACTCTTTATCTACATATAAAGCATAAATTAGGGATTGATTTCGTTGCTCCTTGTTATCCTGTGTGCTGACACATGTGCCATACACTAAAAGATATGGTAAATAAGTAGTTTTTCTAGTTGTGAGCTCAAATTATGAAAGCAGCAAGAAAATACTCACCCCAAGTTGAGGATCTTGAGCTTTGGCATTGTCGAGATCGACGAGGGCAATTCCTTTGCGTAAAAGTACATAAAAAAGAATCACAAACTCAGCTGCTTTGCTGAATATTTACACATCTGTTTCACCCTTCCCTTACTGAAGAGAAAAGCGGTGATCACCAAAGTACGGACAGATTTTTGTAATTTCATAAACTAATCAGCACATTGCATATTATGACACATCAAAATGTGGCCCATAAACTGCTCTTTGGAAGGAATAGAAAGTTTGAATAATCTGTTGAAAAAGTTCTGAAAGTTTAATCATAGAACTTGGACCTTATGTAAAAAAGACAAAAATGATTTAGACATCCCTCACTAGATTTCCCTTGCATCTGAATTTGATTGCATTTCTTTCGAAGATCAGCTTCCTTCTGATCTTTCTTGATTGTTAATGGGTTTTGCCAATGTTTCAGCGTGTGGAGAGAAAATGACATACCTTTGTGCTGAACCTTTAAGCTCTCAGTGTATGTTTGCTTAAGTTTAGAGTGAGGTTAAATTTTTGGTTCTGGTCTGGGTTCAATGGGCCTTATGGGTATGATAAACTTTCACTTTGAGTGGAAAAGGCAAAGGTTTCTTTTGTATAAATAAGTCGAAGGTCCTTTATCACATGAAGTTGGGTGTTGTCCAAGCATGCCTGTGTGCCCTGCATATTTTTTTGTTTTGTTTTGTTTTTTGAGGTCATAGGTACAAGTGGTTTTTATGAGTTTATGGAAAGAAGGATGATTCTCTGTCTAATAGGTTTTGGGCAACTTTGAAAATGTGGGTATATAAGATGTGTAACAAAAAAGGCAAAAGCTGAGTTTGAGATGTCGTCTTTTTCTTTTTCTGTCTCTTCCACTTTTTTAAGCCTGTGTCTCGGGTCAACTTAAGTCATGGTAGACTTCCCCCAGCTTGCCTGTAGCCTGTCATAGAATACCGCGCATCTGCCCATTCCACATTAAGCGCCCATTCCCAAATTTGTAAGATCTGAGAAAATATGCACAGGACATTTATATGTAAAATTGATAAACGGACAAGCGCCAGTCCCCTATTTTCTTGTGCTTATTTTTTAATTTTGAGAGGGCGTTTGCCTGGTATTTTACGGTAGCTGTTATACATATTATAATTTCGTTTTGAAAATTGTTATCTCTGCCTTTTCATTTATTAGACTCCAGCTGCACACTGTCACGACTTGCTTCCTGCATGACGTTTGATAAGGTAGATGCACACTTCTTCACAAACACTGAGTGTTAAAATCAAGTAGATGTGTTAACCATGGTAATACTGAGATCTCCTGTCACATGCAAGCAAGGAGTGGCACGAGCAACCCCGATGGGCTTATAATATCTGCTCTCTATAATATTCTTGCTTTACCTATCGCTTTGTGAAGACACTGACAAATACAGCAAAGAAAAATACCTATCAGTGATTTAAGAGGCCAAGTCACTTTCTTTTCCTCCAAACATGGAACATTATGCTTACCTCATCCGTAAATAAAAAGAAAAAAGTGGCACTATAACTGTGTGGTTCTATCAAGTTTAGAGGAGCGAATTTGCACAATATATCTACTGAACTTATACCATGAATATGGTAGTAGATTGTCGCATCCTACAAGCATTTTTTCACTTGCGTATTCAATTGCATTATACACACGGACAACTTTCTGTGGCTACGCAATCAAAGCTATGGACACACAGGCATCCGAGCACCTTGGGCGTCAATCAAAGCTGTGCACAAGCACTCTTCACTACTTCTGAAATGCCACAGAACGCTGTCCACGAGTATAGTCTCACTTATCACTTTGGGAAGTTTTCCGGAGTGCTTTGTTCACATTTGTCCACCTTAACACCTCAGACACGAATAAGAAAAAGACAAAGTAATCACAGACCCCATTTCGATTAACATGATTGGCTGGAACGGATTAACATGTGGTACTTATGAGATACCTAGAGCCACCTTTGCAAAAAATTCATACTGGCCTAAACAAACAATACTCTACTACCACTGAATGTATCACTCACCATTAAAATTTATCTAATTTGACATGGCATAAAAACAAAATTATGTATGTTTAATGATTCTGCAGCTATGTGCATTCGGTCCAGGTTGACTGCCTGACCGAGTGCACACCCTTTGCAGAAAACTGTACACAATGCAACATATTTGCTAATACAAACAACTGACTACCACAGAATGCTCCCATTCCTAAACTGTGAAAAAAGTATGTCTCATAAAAGAAACTTGCAAACTTACAACGATGTGGTTATTGCACAGAGTCAGGATCTCCAAGTTGTACAAGTTTGCTATGCTGGCAGGAACAACTGTGGATAGAAATGTTTTGCCATGAGCCCTCTTTTTTTATCTCGGGTCAACTGAAGCTCTACAGATCACCAGTGGGCTTTCGAGTCATCTTTCTGACACAGTGAGAAGCATGTTCTTGTGCTTTGTTGTTTTTCTTTGTAGAAGGAAGTTTTACATAGGAAGCGGTTACTATTTTGCGAAGCAATTGTGATCTTTATTCTCCGTGAAATGGGGCTGTTGGGGACACCATTGTTTTCCGTTCTTTTCTACATTGTTAGAAGTCGGGGATTTCAAGGTCTCTCAAAAAATTGTTGGATTTGTGAGTGTAGAGTAATATGGTTAGATCAATTTCATGAGTGGCCCCTGAAGCTACCAGGGACGCTGCTCAATGCAGCTCTTCTCCAAGAGTTTGATTCATCTTTCTGCCGGGCAGTTGTCCGTTTTACAGGTGGTTTTTTCTTTTTTGTGATTGGCGCGGCACTCTATCACGGGGCGACTTCAGTCAAGCCAAAGTCTTTGTCACCAATCGAGCCCTGCCGTCGGCCGGCATTTGGACTGGGCTACCAAAATTGATGAGACTGTTTTTTGCTGGTTGGCTTCAGCAACTTGTTTTGTGTTCTGTCTAAAGGCTGGTTCACACACCTGCAACTGCTTGCGACTGTATCCCTTTAAACCTCTTAAAATCTCTTACGACGAGATATTGGGTAGCCGTGGAGCACATGCAGTTTTCGTACAATTCCCATTCTTTTCATGCATTATTCTTTTTTTTTTTGCTAGAAAAACGTTTGACAATGTTTGAAATTGCCATTTCTTATGTATATTGTGTACATTTGATCTCGTAAATACCCCTAAACCTTCACTTTAGTGAAATGTAAGTCCAACAAGTTAACTCGTAGATGGCGCCAGCATGTTCTCTCATCGTAAGAGAGCACAAGGATTCGGTCACAAGTAAATGCAAGTGTATGAATAAGTCTTAAAAGTTTTGAGGTTTTATTATTATCTTTTTTTTATCAACTGTGCTGCGAGTGTCTGTTGCCGGATGCTTTTCTTAGATATTTTTTCATTGTGTCACGGTTGTAGATTTTGTTTTTTGTATTGTCTGGTTCATCTGCATTGCAGTGTTCCATGTGCAGAAGCCTGATTTTTTTTGCTGTGTGCGGTTGACTTTCCACAATTTTGAATAAATTATTTTTGTTACATTAAAACATCCGTGTTATTGCCTCTCTGCCCGACTTTTACACGCAGCATAGCTATATCACCTGCCTACTGGTCCAATCTAATTCTTTAACTCTTCTAACTAATTTTTCTAGTATTTTTCTTTTTTTTAAATTAAAGTTTACCATTTTGCGACACATATTAAGCCCAGATACATAAGTTGTTTAAGGAAAGTACCTCCCTTGAAGAGTGTAGTTTTTAAGTATTTGTTCTAATTCAATGAAATTCCCAGGGTACTGACCATGCAGCCTTAGGAGGCCATGTGCAAACTTTCAGCTAAAAAATCTTATTCTGTGTCATGTAATGGTCTCATTTGTCAGAAGAATGAAACAAGACTTAGCTTAAGTGTTTTTATGTTAACTATTCACACAAACTACTTGAGTTACAAGTGATGAGACAAAGACGAGGCTCCTGACAGTGACAGGCACAAGCCAAATAAAGTAAAAAAGATTATACGAAAATATTAACGTCCGACACCTCTCCAGCAGAGAGGGACCTTCAGGAGAATCTAGTGAAAACCACATTTGTTGTGCGAATGCTTAGATGGCGGGAAGTTGGTCTGCCTTAGAATGGCACCTGATGTCTCTGGTCTAGAGGGGCAATCTAGCCAGTGCAACATGGCTGTTGAACTAGAGTCTTTAAAGTGTATCCCTTAATAGCAACTACACAAATGGAAGCAGGTACAATATCCATCCATAATGGAAAAGGCGAGAGTGAAATCTGATTTTGCTACTGCAGTATAAGCCTTTCCTCAAGGAACTGCCCTCTAACTTTGTAAATTTTGGAGCTGTGGTGCCTCAGCAAGTCAGCAACAATAACAGTATTCAAAGCTCACCTCTGATCTTGTTGTGGCTCAGGGTCAACCTCGTCAAATTGGCCAGGGAAACTGCAAGGAAATGAGAATATTGTAAAAACTCCCAGAAACCCATGCCAGTGGTGCATGCAAGAAACAGACACACTCGCTCGAGCCAAAACAGTCCAATGCACGCTGCCTTTTACAAAAGTGAAATGCTCAGGCAATGTAAGGGGTAAGAACTGTAATCTTTCTTATTTTATTTGCTTTGTTAGTATTTTAAAAACGACAAATCTACACACCTCGCTCCTGTATAGTTTTAGTTCTCGTTAACAGTTCTAACAGTTCTTTGATGTATTAATTTTTCTTTTCTTTGAATATATATTTTTGTATGTATAATTCAGCCCCTTACAATAATGCTCTATGAGTGAAGTGTAGAAAACTAATTAAAAAAACTTCACACGAGGCAAAAGCAAGCTGCACTAGCATGTCTCAAGAAACCTCTTTGGAAAATCCCACAAGGCTTTTTGGTGAGCCCATATTGCACCATGCTATACAGGAATCGTGGGGCCATGCCGATGTATGCTTGGCCCGACTCGACTTGTACGCTCTGTACATCCCGGAAGCAGCTCGACAGAACAAACATGACAAAGCTGGTACGCACCCTGTTCTGTTATTGTCCTGCCTTTGCATTCTAAAATCACACAATGCTGAACCAACATGAACAGCTCTTTTTATTCAAGGGGTACTCTCTTACACACTGTACGTCGGATTGCCAGAAAGATGTCGTGTTCGGGTGAAACATGACATCGTCACGTAATCCAATTTTAGATTGGAAAACATTGTCACAACTGTTTTTTTTCCAACTGAACTAGTTTTTCCAAACTAGTATAGTACTGTGGAGCGTGCCTACAAGGGGCACAAAACAAAACAGTACAACTGGGTGTTCAAACTAACCCGAGTAAATCTCTAAAAGGGCCAGTGTTGTACACATGCTAATTTTGCCATGCAGTGTATTCCCACGGGTTAATATTGAAGGTCACATTTTTCTACTTAGGTTGGCTCTCCACGTCTTCATATGCCCATTCAACTTTACTATTAAAAAAAAAAAAAGTCCTGATAAGGGCAGGTATATGGGGGTCGGAATGCTGCGACACCTTTCAAGCCCCTGAATGTTGAGTCGACACTTTCTCAGTACCCAGTTGTGAGTGTGCTTACTCAGACTTTTTGAGATGGCGGACTTAGATGTCAGCTTTAAAGAAAGACAGAAAATAGATATGATTGTGTGTTTGGACTAGCTATGTTGCACATTATACAGGCATACATACAATCATGATGATAGCACAAGGTATAAAATCAGCACGGTGTGAGTAACTTGTGTTTGGTCAGAGATGGGTTGTAAAATAACAGAGGTGAGCCGAATGTTAGCATTCGGCAACAGCTAGTCTAGCATGGTCTGTCAACTCAAAAACAAAACAAGCTCCGAGTGCGTAACATAGATAACGCTCAAACATTCCGGCGGAGCGCTCGAGCATAGCCAACCATTGGGAACGCGTTTAAAGGTCTGTCTTGTTTTTTTTTTTTTTTCTTTTGTAATTTTTACGTGAATTTAAAGGTGTCAAGGACGATATGACGACGACGGACGTCGACGTACTGCGCGGAAACAGGGAAGCCGTTTCTTGATTTTGGCATTGAGAAAATGAGTCAACCTGTAAATTCCCGTGATCGATAATTCAGGACACAAAAATATTACGATGGTATTCACTAGAACGTATCTGTGTGAAGAGCGAGCAGTAAGAACAGTCGGCGAAAGCAGGCATTCAAGCTCGCGTCTTCACTTTCTGAGCAAACGTCGCAGGCACACACCCAGTAGGACGTAACAATTGGACTCCTTGCGTGCCGACAGGCGTTTATTAATCGCCAGAATCGCTTTCAATTGAAGAAACTCCCAGCGTCACCAGTGCACACTGAAGTTGACAACGCCCAGCGAAGGTTGGTGTTTACTTTTTTCGTTTGCCTCGAGAAAGAAAACATGTTCGACACTGTTGCGCAAAACCAGCTTTTGGCGAAGTTTCAGCCCCACGACCCCCAGGTTTCTCGTTGCAGGCAGGTTTTGAAGTAACATTCAAGACATTTCGTAGCATGTGTAAACGATCGCTACGTGAATCAACCCCCGCAGACCCATGACATCACAACCGGTTTAAAAATACGACGGTCGCGCCAAATTTGGAAAAGGGGGTCAAAAAAGGGTCCCGCCCTGGCGCGAGCGGCTACTCACAGAGCCCCGGGATCTCTTCGATTGAAGTGATGCCCCGGTCGACCAGGTCCAGTTCGGGATTGTTCGTTTCCCGAGCTTCGTCGACCACTTTCTTCACCTTGGCCATTTTGTTAAAATCCAGGCAATTACAGGAAGTGTGCTTGGTCTCGCGCTCCATCCTGCTGGCTGCTCAACTTCCGGACGCCAGGAGCGCTTCTGCGAAGACTCGTCAGAAGGGCGCGGGGCGGCGCCACCGGACTGCTTCCCACGCGTAAATCGCCGTTGGCGTCGTCTGCTGCCCACATCGGCTGCGTCTCGCACCAACTGTTGCATTCGTCCAAAGCATTCGAACAAAATTGTACAACACAAATCGAAACAATACATACAAAAGGACATAAACTGAAAACACACGTTTTGTGCGTCCGCTGTTCTTTATTCGTTTAGCATGCATAACCTCTTTGGCCGATGAAGGTCGTGCGGAGTTTAAAAGCAGAAATCGAAATAAACAAAGAAAGTACAAACAAAACAAACCATGTAAACGTCACGATCTATAGGTCTTTCAACGCAAACACAAGTCTATCCTCCTCCCGTATCCTCCTTTCTCAACAAACTGTGTTCAGTATGCAAGGTGACGAAAAGTACGAAGTGGCATTGGAGGGCGGGAAGATCAGTGCGGCGGGATGAAAGCTACCAATAACATAAAAATATACATTTCCGTTGGCAAGAGCTCCAAACTTCGTTTATCTTTTTTCGTCTCATCTTTCCCGCTGAACGTCTATTTAGGTACCGCCTCTTCGTCACAGGTTCACCGCTTTTCGTCAGCATACTCTTTCTCCATCTCTCTCCCACCTTTTCCCCCCTGTCACCTCTTTGTTTTTATGATCGAGAGTAAAGATTTCCTTTAATATTTTGTACAATTGACTTCCCCCCGCCGAAAAAAATAAAAATTAAACTGAGTGGTCCCTTTTGGGCCAACATCAGACTCCTTTGATTCCTTCGATGTGTGTCATTTGGATTTTATTTTGTTTGTGTAGCGGACAGTGGTTTCGATTCCTTCCCTTTCTTTTGTATGTGTGTGTGTGTGTGTGAGGGGTACCTCGTCGTTATTTATTCATCAATTGCGCTAGACAGATCGTGTTTTCCTTACATTCTTGCGTCTTCGGTGCTTCGGACGAGTGAGAAACACTGTCAACGCAAACAGGCGATCGCCATATTTTTTTTTCTTTTTTCTTGTTTTGTTCTCTATTAGAATCGAAAGGCTGTCATAGAAATTACTATTGTGATGACAAGTGCCCATGGAAGGCACTATATTTAACGGTAAAGTTCGGTGCCCGCCAACACGCTTCCGAAGTAATAGTATATGCGACAAAGCCCAGCGTCGCGCAAAGTATGTAGTACACAGGAGAAAGATCTCAAGCGTCATTCGGGCATCAAAATAAATAAAGTCGAGTAAATAATTTAATGTTTGGGGTACATTTAAACTTTTCACAGACCTGTATTTAGTTGGTGTATTTATCATAATCAAATTTTATGAATATAGGCTTCAGAAAAATAAAATTACCCCCCCCCCTCCCCCAACTCCTCATTTTTTTTTTTTTGTTTATGCACGGGGAGGAAAACGGCATATACTGTCTGGTTGGCGCTGCTACTCAGGGATGGCGCCATGGACACATGCTTGGATCTGCTGAGTATGCTTCAGAATATTCATCTAAAAAACAAAAAAAAAAAAAACAAAAAAAAAAAAAACAGGGGTCTTAAACTCATTCAGGTGCGGGAGCCCACCCCAGAAAGGTCGAGGGCCAAACCAACATCTCCCAGAAGAGAAGGCCGCAGCACTCTTCTCGTGACGTCGCAAAGGAAGGCCATCGGGGGCGCGCGTCGAAGCGAAGGCAAGGCGCGTGGATCGATTGTCGTAACGCGCTTTTAGTCACAGAGGCGCGTCTTATTAGCTAAAATGAAAGTTGCACATAGCAACGGGTCTAGAAAACATTTTATTACACGGGCGAAATATTGCGCAGCTAAATAATCGGTATGAAATGGCACGAAGTAGGCGTATAAGAGAAAACATTGAGTTACGCAATTATTGCTGTAGGAATGCATATTTTATTCAGAAATACTCCGACAAAATGGCGAGATACGCAGTGAATGGACACAGCAAAACAGATCACAGTTAAAAATCAGGTGGATGTAGTCAACGCGGACACGGCAAGACAAGTGTCACTTACGATCATGTAAGCAATGTTTTCGCGTGCAGTCACTGAATTCTCGCATCATACCCTGGCCACATGGCAAAAGTAATACAATTTCGATCGAATGACATTATGGGGTCGACAAACCAGCTTGCAACGCTCGTATAGTCACTCAAGACCGCGAGCTGATTAAGTCCCATATCATTTAATGAAAATATATTAACTTTTCCGTGTAGCAGGGGTACTAAACCTACTATTTAAAGTCAGCTAATTTTACCTCTCCCTATGGGCTAGTTTTTGTTTTTATTTTGTATACAATAATACTATTACCTTAATACGGTTAAGATTCTAGTATAAACGCGGTAAAGGCAATAAAATAACATTAGTATAAATAAACGCATAAGCACAAACAACGCACTTCGTACAATCACACGAACTTGTTATTCACCTTCCAGTGAAAACTAGAATATTACCAAGCATATTTACCAATGTCGACGCAACCGCACACGGATAACGACGAACAAATAATCATTCTATCACTAACAAAAAAAAAAAAAAAAAAACGATTGCAGCGTTTTACTCGCGTCCTACATGACCAAGAAAGCCCGTAAATAAGTTGTTTGTCACCTGTCGATCGTATCCATACATCCCACAATATATGGCACGAAAACATTTGAACACGAACAGTCTCTCTCTGTCGAGAGAGGTCTATCGATAATCGACCAGTGTCATCGTTGGCTAGTTGCCACATATGTCACTCAAACCGTAGCAGGAGTTGTTCCGTGAATCCACGTAAATGCCGTAGTACCAAGTGAACACACAAAAAAAAAACTAGCCGAAACTGCAATGACGACAAAAAAAAAAAAAAAAAAAAAAAAAAAAACGACGGGTAGGAGGATTAAAACACCCATACACACACACGAGAGCAGCGGCAGCAGTGTGGAAGGCTTAACGTTGTCGACCCATCTCTTGCTCGTGTGTGCTCCCTGCGGCGATGTCTGCATTTTTTTTCTTTTCGCTTCACTTCCCTTCTGAAAGTCTCAGCCTTCCTTTTCGGGCAGTCGGCAGCTCACACACAACGTAAAGTTACCAGAATCGGAGCCCGTACGAGGGAAGAAAACGTCGCAGCACACCGGTTCATTCGAAAAGTGTGGGGAGCTGCGGGACTGCACGCAGCCCCGCGGTTACGGGGTTAATCATAAATATGAAATTGGTACTTTCAACCTTGGTAGCACGTTGTATATTACGTTTATATTACATATATAATAAATATTGCAAGACTGCGCTTTTAAAACATATATTAATGTCAGATAAGCGCTCACGAACACCATTGTGCCACTCGACATAAAACGTTTTTTCACGTCAATGCCAGAAATTTTTTTTCACGTAGTTGCGCCATGGACTTCCTTCATTGTGACGTAACCACTCGGAGCGCTACGTCCTTCTCTTCTAGGAGGTGTTGGCCAAACAGATAGAGAAAGAGAAAGAAAAAAAGAGACAGTTTTTTTTTTTTGGGCGGGGGGGGGGGGGGGGGGGGGGGATGGTTAGGGGGAGGGAAAAAAAGAATATATTTTGTGCAAAAGAGGAAAAAAAAAGCAAACAAAGAGCAGTGGCTTTTTCTTTTCAAAGTAGCCGAATCTCTCAGTGGCGCATTTGAGAGTTTCTGGAGAAGGGACCCGTGCTCTCTGCTTTTCGTGAACTTTCATCCTTAGCTTCGATTTCAATGTGAGTGTGAACACTTTAGGAACACCCCTGATGTCATGACAAAGCGTAACATTACACCGCACCGCTAACTTGCTTGAATATTTTAATGGGACAAAAGAGCAAGCGCACTCACGTTGTCGTGGCGCTCATTTTGATCAATATTAACCAATTTCAACATTTCTTGAAGAAAAAAAAGCTTAATACGACGGTTTCCAATTCTTGTCTTTTAATTGTACTTTTCGACTCCTAAAAACCCAACCTTATGGCTTTATCTTTTTAAGTTGCTCCTACTAAGCAAGAGTTCACGAGGCCGGGGTGAGTCTTAAAGAGCTCGCGCTTGGAGAATATTAGTGGGATTGTCGTACAGGTAATTAACACGAGGAACCGCTCAAAAGTTTTAAGGCAAAGCAATACTGAGTCCAAATAAAATAGAACAGACAACAGTAAGTGAACACGTTATAAGTGCAGAACTGCGTTTTAAGCGTAAGTAAATTACGACATAAGAACATTATTTGTGAGGTTTATAGCGCTTGGAACGAAGGTTCGCAGCCGCTTGATGCTTGGGGCCGCGTCCCAGCGAGTCGCTGGCCGGGTGTTTGAGACGCCTGTCACAAACGCTTCACGTGTTTGCTTTATGTTTTGCCTTCTGTGAGCATAACAGCGTTGACCGAGAGGTTTTGCCATTTTCCTCTGTGTGCATAAAAAGAAAACCGTTTTTTTCTTGTTTTTTTTCCTTGAATATTACACCCAAAAACTTTGCGTATGATAAATGCACCGCCTAAAGGCACCCTTGTGAAAAGTTTCAATGCACCCTGTTCACTGGTTGCAAATCGACCCAATGGTTGTTCCGGACAAGTAATAATAAATAGATATATTTTAGAACTCAGCTCTTAGGCGCCCGTTCCCGGCTTGAGCGGCGTCGGTGTCGGCGTCGGCGTCGACGTCGCCATCGCCGCCGGCGTAACCACGCGTTGCATTATGGGATGTTTCCCATATTGCACGTGTGACGTCACAAGGGTCACGAGTCACTCATGATGCCACCACGCGTTGCAATATGGGTAAACTTCCCCGTAACATTTAGCGGAAAAAATTCCCCGCTAGATTTAGCGAAAAAAATTCCCCGCTAAATTAAATGGGGAATTTTTCCGCTAAATTTGGCGGGAAATTTAGCAAAAACTTCCCGCTAAATGGGAGCGGAACAGAGGAGGAGGGGAGTGTACGGATGAGGAGGAGGGGCATACCCTCCTCTCCTTACCTTCCCGGTTCTCCTCCTCAAGAGCTGCGCTCTAATTCGGCGTTACAGGGGATTGTAAAAGTCTTTCATTTTTTTTTTTTAGATCGACGCAAAGGTTATTTTTTGATTAAAGTTTTCGACTTCAGATGGTTCTGCAATTCATTATAACGGTTTCATCGCCTTTTATTAAGATTCCC